AATGTTTGATACCAATATATCTGTGTACAATGTTTGATTGTTTGGGAAGGAATAGTTTGTGTGAAATCTTCCTTGGGAAAGTAAAGGAGTTAACCCAGGTGTAAGATCAAAAGTGATTCTGACCTTGTATAGTTCCGAGGCTCTCACGCTCTGTTCAGAAGAAAAATACTTTTTCCTAGAACTCTGATTTGCTGTATTGGGCCCGACCCAAAGTGAATCCAACCAGTAAGAACACCTAGGGGAGTGAGCAACCGACCCAAACTCCTCCCCACGGACTCTCTGATTCGCTTAGGAGTCAAATGGGACGGAAGAGCCGACACACATCTCCGCCCCAAATATGTCCATATATACTGTTGTTTATTCATGCAAAAATGCCCCGTTTCTGACTGGCTGGTCCCGATATCTGTATCGCATGGCAGTAGAGCGGGGAGCCCGGAGTGCTCTGTTACAGGGCACTCTGTATTTCGTATTGTGTTTTTTACCATTAAAATCAGATTATTGTTATAACTTTTATGCCAGTGTTTTGAACTTCTTTTATTAATCTGACCAGGCTCATCTAACGGACGGCGCGGAGCAGAGGTGGGCTTTAAGCCACCGTTACTGTGTTTGCTTCTACATTATTTAAACAAGAGAACATAAATATATTACAAAGATTCATTGTGTCATGTATTCTGGTATCTACCAAAAATAAAGACATTGTATAGTGTTCATAACAGTATTTTAATTTAATAAATAGCTAGTTAATATAATAAAATACACAGTAACAATACAATAATCATACAAATAACAACCAACCTGCAAATCATCCTATACATCAAAATAAATATATTATCTAAAACCGGTGCATTTGATTTAAAATAAAAGTAATACATAGAATTCAATATTTAAATGGTAACAAAAACCGTAACACTATATATGATAAGAAAAAGGCAACAAAGAAGGTGTTTTTGGTTTTTCCTTGTTCATGTCCATAATGTTTCCTGTTGTGTAGCGTCCAGCCTTTCCCAATCTGGCCTGCACTTCTGTCTGTTGAAGCCACTTCTTCAAGCAAACTGAAAATAAATGTACAGATATAAGTACACTGTAAAAAGACAACTTGACATTTAACATTTGGGCTGCTGTGGTTGCCAGAACCGTTAAAGTATAATACATTACAAATTACAGTTGGTTGGCATATACGTTACAGTCAACAATTGCTTATGGTGAATTACAATGGCAAAAACAAAGAGCTAGTGTTGTTAGAAATTAAAATCAATGTTTTGATGGCATAATGTACCTTAAACATACAGTCAGTTTAAATGCCGTCTTATACTGAAAAACCAGAAGTTCTCGCGCACAATGTCTGATGTAAAGCTTTTATTCTGAAAAACCTTCATCTCCGGTTAGCATTTAGCATGTGGCTAATATTCCTTTCCCTATAGAGGTGAATTTCGAAGTGAAATGACATGGAGTGATGCACACCGAAGCCTACTGATTTTAACACTACAACTATAGACGTCGAGATATTAATATTGCTGAATATTAAATGAAGGTACAGTTTATTTGAATATGTTTTTGTTTACAGATGTGGGTAGCATGTGACAACATCCGGAACTACCAGAAACCAAACTGCCGTGAAGTATTTCCTGTATTTTTTAGAGTATTGATTACAGCGTTTAAAATGTGTTAAATGAAAAGTCATGAAAGAGATAAGGCGTGTTTAGATATATATTGAATGTACAATGTCTGAATCCTCTGTTATGCGCAACAACGGACATTAAATACGTGGAGGGCCGGCCCCCAGCAGCGCCAACCAGCCCACAGGGAGGAGCCAGCAGAGGATATTTAACAGCTGGAAAGGTGGTGCTCGCCCTCTTTTCTGCCCTCTGCTCTCTGACTGAACAATATTCTGCTTGTAACATTACCGCGCCTTTTATTAAATTAAAGTACCCATTTGAACCTTCTCAGAGACTCCATTCGTCTCCCTTTTAAAGCTTCTTTCCTGGACGCGAGAATAAGGAACAAAGATAACAGTGTACACGGTGCAGCGGTATTATCTGGGAAATAGAATAATCGGATCAGGATTCGGTATTGGCAGACAATCAATATCAAATGAATCGGATCATTATTAGCATCTGATCACCTTTGTCGACTTGCAGCCTAAATACAAAGATAACTCCACTCCTCTCTTACCTCTAATAAGCCTTGGTAGAACTAGTGTACGAGTCATAGGGTCCAGGACTGACTGAAGACATGTGGAACAGAGTCCCAGACAGGCATGATTCCATGTACAGGAAACTGGAACTTTGAACAGGTGTTTTCATCTTTTCTGCCTGAAGATTCACAAGTTCTTGATCAGGTGTTTGATGTGGGCTGGCATGATCCTTTCTGCAGCAATAAATAAAGAAAACATTTTTAATAATGGTAATGATGGTAACAACAATAATATTAGTATAACTATTTATATAGCACTTACACAATTGAAAAGTGATTCTCACAACAAAAATAAAGAACAAAACAATATCAACAATAAAAAAACAAATTATTATAGGAATGTTAAGAGACAAAGAAATGTTTTTTCAATCATTACAATGCACTGTTGGAAATTATCTTCCAAAGGCTAAATTCAAACTCAATACCACAAATAACTGGGTACCAAAGTGCTTTACCTGATATAACACGTTCCACACGGAGCAGCAACCATCTGGCTGGGCCTTTTGCTGCATATCATCTCCTCCCTCTCTCTCTGGTGTTAGGTTCCAGTAGATTTCTACTATCCAATAAAACAGAAATTCCCCAAAAAATCATATTAAAACAGTTAAAAACAATGTCATGCTTTTGGCATTGAAATGGATTAAAATCTCACCATTTTGCTGGATGTCAGGAAGGCCAGGAAATCATTCCCTTCAAGTCCGCAACCAGTCATAGGAGTTCAAATGCAAAGCCTGAACGATGACAAGAGCGAGAGACTTACATTTTAAAATTATATTTTTAATTCATACCAAAGCAGTGTGTACATACGACATGCAGAGAACAGATCAAATCCCCTGACAGACTCACACACTTTGGTGATGTCCTCATCTGATAATGTTTCATTTTTTTTAGCAGCAAACTAACATTACTCAAAGCATATGTCGGACCCAACTCATTTACAGTATGTTTTGCATCTTCTCAATAATGGTCTGTATAGTTGAGTAGAAAAAACTGTCCCTACAATTTCAGGTAGACAAACACACATTTGTAAGAAAAGTTTACAATGAAGCACAAAACCCCTCTTTGTATTAAGTGAGCTGCCACATAAAGTACAGCTTAACATGCTAACCTTTGGTGAGCTACAGTAAAGCTAACTTCATGTTCAACACAAAACCTTTAACGTGAATTACATTGACGATGTTAAACACAACTTAACTCTCTCTACTTATAAAATAACGTTTAGTTAACTTGCCCTTAAATAACTACATCACGTTTTTCAGTGGAAACACAAACTGCAGAAAACGTTAGCTGCTAACTGTTGTTAGCTAAGACAGCTAGCTGTAACATAGCCTCATGGCAAACTTAAAGGGGACCTATCATGCAAAATGCACCTTTGGACGTCTTTTATACATGAATATGTGTCCCCGGTGTTCCAGGGAACTCACCAAGTGTCAGAAAACACAACCCTCTCTATTTTCCTCCTTCGCCAAATCTCTAAAAAAGGGGCTGAAACGGATCTGAAAAAAACGGATCCAGATTTCAACACTTTCCTACGTCACAAAGAGACGTGCTCCGCTTATTGGTCAACTCTCCACCTATCAGGGGAATGAGCCACGGCCACGTGCATTGCCAAACCTCTCATTCGCATATAGGCTATCGGCAGGCTAAATCAACTCCAGTCACATCTGTGTTTTTGTCTGCTCTTGCCAGGATGTCTAAGCGAGTTAAACTTTGTGCTGTTGTTGGCTGCAAGACTCGAGAAGGGGGACTGCATGCAATACCATCAGTGGAAAAAGAAAATAATCTGTGGCTAGACTTCATTTTCAAGGGACATGTGCCAGAAGACCACGGCAGATTTCTGTTTGTGTGTTCCAAACATTTTACCACGGACATGTTTATGAACTTCTCTCAAGTCCAACACGGATATGCCTCCAAGCTAATGCTAAACCCGGGATCAATACCAACCATCCGGGAGCAGGCCAGTGAGGACACATCCAATTTTGAAGCTGTACGTTTTTATTTAGCGGTGTTTTTCCTGATAAAGCTATCTCTAGCTTGTAGTATGTAGCATGTAGCATGTAGCTTCGCCGTATCAATGTCGCCTCAAACCCAAATAGTAATCGGTTAGGTGTTTATATGTTTTTATAACATTTTATATTGTACGCTCTGCAGTCTTTGCTTTGTCTTTTATTTTAATTATCAGGCATTTGCTAACATGTTCAGACATACTGCCGTAATGGCGATCTGTGTGAAGGCTGTAAAGCCACGCCCTAGCCGATAACACAAGTATTTATTCTCCTATTTATTAGTATTTTGTATCCTATAAAATCATATTGAGTAAGTTATAATAACAAACGTAATCTTCTGTAGGTAAGTGCCGTTTTTTCCAGCGTTATATGTAAAAGCTTTTGTGATTGTAGTCTGTAAGAACGATCAGATCTGTAAGCTAAGCTACGCTTCGCTAATGAGACATGCCGTTTTTTCCAGCGTTATATGTAAAAGCTTTTGTATGTTTACTTGTTTACACACATGAATATAAATGGGGATGTGTTAGGATACAACACTGTGTGTATGTATGTGAGGGGACACACACACCATGAGTAAAACAGAACTAAAGCCCCGTTGGTCTGTTGTTGTTGACGACGAGGCCTTACCTAGCAACAGGCTAATTAGTGGCTAGCACTCATTACAGTCAGTCTACTGAGCTCAGCCCCTCTCCAACACATCATCTGTATTGAGTCAGAAACACAGCATGCACGTTACGGTTCAAAACGAACTCAGATTGGAAAAGGCTAAGCAAAGAGCTTTGCTAAATAGAGAGTTTTAGCCCCCATCTTTTGGGATTTCAGACGATATTTATCCAAATAGTATTTTCTCATCCTGAATACTAAATTGAGATGATTTTGTTTTCTTCTTTACAGGCCAGCACCTCACATGCTACCAGCAGATCACCTGTGATGACAGATTCTGCATGTCAGACTGACCCACCCAAGTACCGTACTGTTCGTCCACAGCTATCCTCGAGGACTCTTGGTTCACATCGAAGTACAGGTTAGAAGCACGTTTTTCAAATGTTCTTTGGATACATCTTGACATTCTGATGTTGTAGCCTTTCATTTGTGTGCTTCTAATTGTTGTAAAATATTTTTGTTTTATCTTTTGTTTTGTTTTTAATGTCAAATACAATTATGTTACAGCTGTCCAGGCTAAAATTCCCTGCAGAAGCGTTGGTGTCGAAACACTTCCGTTGGAAGTGCCAGTGCCCTTTTTAACATCCACCCCCTTAAAGAGACCACCAAAGAGGCCCCGTGTGGATCTTGAAGAGGAATACGAAGATCCATTTGAGGGAAGCTCTTCTTTGGTGATTTCCGAAGGCCAGGATGCAACTTATGATCCAGCAGAATCCATAACAAATGCTACAGAAACAACAGCCATGTCGTAAGTTACTGAAATATCACTATGTGTGAGTTTGTCTATGTATTGTATTTTTTGCTGTATATAATTCAAACATTGATAATAGGGAAACACCAAAGATCTCTAAAGCAACAATCTGTGTGATGGATCTTAACTTCTATTGTTTTGTTTTAGTGGTCAAGAACAAAACCCCCCCCAGACGATCAACACATACATCGTGTATGAGACCTGCCTCATGGAGCTTTTTGAATCATGTCCTGTGTGCAAGCGTGTGTGTGATGTACAAACCAGAAGGATCGGTACATTCATATCAGTGCAGCAGCTGTGCCCCCATTGTCAGTTTACAAGAAACTGGAATAGCCAGCCTGTTCTTGGGAGTACTCCAGTTGGAAACCTGCAGCTATCAGTTGCAACATATGTCAACGGAGCATCTTTCTACAAACTTTCAAAGGTAAATTAACTGCAGAAGATTGTTTTGCCAATGTTTGAAAATGCAAATGTTGTTGTTGAATAAGATAGGACAAGGTAACAATAACAAGAGTGAGAAAAGGTGGGAATAGGGCACTGTTAGGTAACGACCCATGCTAATATGTAAAGATCTTTTGGGAGGGTGGTGTGGAGAAAGAGAAGAGATGTGAAAGGGGCACTGTAGAGTAAGCACCCCTAATGACATGTTCAGCTCTTTCCCTGTTTAAAAAAAGGGCAGCTCATTTGCACTTTCCAGGTTCTCCTCATTGACACATCTACAGGTGATCTTTGAGATTAAAATGTATTCTTGCGGTTTTCTTTCAACCATTAGGTCTTCAAAGCAATGAATATGCAGCTATGCAAATACAACACCTTCCGAAGGCATGCCAGGATGTTCATTGAGCCAGCGATTGTTTCTTACTGGCAAAAATCACAGGAAGGCATGCTACAGAAGCTCCATGCAGAGGAGAAAGTGATAGTTGGTGGTGATATGAGGGCTGACTCTCCAGGTATGTATTTTTTATATAATTCACATTTTACATTTCAGAAAGGGGTTTCACTATGTGTGATTTGTTCAATTAATGGTTCCTGAAAAACATATGCTAAACACTACAAGCAAAAATACAAATTCACCATCCGCAGAGAAAAGTAATTACTGTAAAACATATTTTCACAGGCCACTATGCAAAGTTCGGAAGCTACACTATGATGGACCTGAAGAACAACAAAGTCGTTGACCTCCAGTTGGTTCAGGTAAGTGGGGTGAAATGAAATATCAATGTTTTTTTCTTTAACACTGTTTGCACGTTATATTTAAAATGTGTGTATCAATGGTTATTTGTATGTGTCATAACAGAGCAATGAGGTTGGTGGAAGCTACCACATGGAGTTAAAGGGCCTGAAAAGGAGTCTGGAGTTGTTAAAGGAACGTGGTGTGACTCTGGACTGTATTGTCACGGACAGACATCTGCAAATTCAGAAATTCCTAAGGGAAAGCAGCATCACCCAATTCTTTGATGTGTGGCACATAGAAAAAGGTATTTTTCTTTATATTAATTTCCATGTAAATAAATCGATTGTAAATACAATCATTATTTTATTTAGACACAAACCCGGCTTCCTACAATCACATTAGTATAATAATATTTTGAGTAAACTTGTATGTATATTAACTACATGTTAAATGTATTTATTAGGGATTTCTAAGCAACTGGAGAAGGCTGCAAAAAAGAAGGACTGCGAAAAACTTCGAGGGTGGGTGAAGAGTATAAGAAACCACATATACTGGACTGCAGCAACCTCCACCACCGGGCCTGAGAGAGTGGCCAAATGGTTCCCTAAGTGCCTTCATCCACTGCGCATTGCGCAATACCAATGGATGGCTGCAGGTATGTTATTCATAAACCATATTACATTACTCCTCTATAAATATTTGTAAGGGACAACTATTGAATACAGGATGTTGTCAGACACAATCTATAAAGCATGACAATTCAAATATGACTTTGATTTTCAAATTCTTAGGAACGCCGGCCTTTCACAAGCTGGAGACAATTCTCTCAACCAAGAGGATTTTGAAAGCTGTGGCCAAACTCAGCCCACACCACCAGACTTCATCTTTGGAGTCATTCCATGCCGTCATCCTGCGCTTTGCTCAAAAGAATGTTGTGTTTCCATTTCTTGGAATGTTGTGCAGGTAAAATAAACCATAGTTACTTACTAATTAGTGACAATTTGTACATTCTTTGCTATTATTTACTTTTTTTTTTACTCATGGCGGAAATGAAAGACTGTACCTGGCAGCCCTGCACTACAATGAAAACGCTGAGCGTGCACAAGCCACTACATCCACTGGAAAGCCTCTGTATAAACTGCAGTTCCCAAAGGCCAGGAAGGGAGAATGCAGAGCAAAACCAGTAAAGACTGACCCCACATTCCGTAAGTGTTTAAAATATTTATTATACAACTATTTACAAATATAAAATAAATAAATAAAAAAGAACTTTCAGTTTTGTACATGCATATACTAATGTAAACCACATTTTTTGTTGTGCTTTTTTTTTAACATTGCACAGGCTACGTGGCCAACTTGATGGACCTCATCTTCGACCAAGTCTTTGTGGACCCTGCACCATTCACACAGGAGCTTCTGAAGATACCCATCCCAGAGGACCTGTGTTCCCAATATGAGCGACCTGACAGGGAGGAGGTCATCTCCGGGTATGCTACTCGGTTCAATTTGGCTGCTGTCTGAACCCAACATACACATTTCGCTGATCAGGAAACTCCCTGCGAATCCTGAGGACAACGCAGGCCGGAATCACCACTCTGATCCTGCGTCCAAGGAAGCCCCAGCACCAGCTCACAAAGCTTCTGTAGGCTAGATACCTGTGACGCCTGAAATCATTAAAAAATATATTTAGTGTCATTTATATATAATACAAGTACATTTAGTTTTTTTTTATGGGTTCAAAGAACCGTTCATTTTGACAATAAAGTTCAGAGTTGATATCAAATGTGTCGTGATTATTCATGTTTGGATGGGTAAAGAATATTTTGATTTCAAAAGCTTAAGGTTGTGTGTGGACATTTTTTGTCGTACACTTGGGTGTGTTATGCCATTACTGTGTAATAATATATATATATATATAATAGTACATGTACAATGAAAGATTGCATAAAGCCATATACACCAGTATTTATTTCCATGAACAATATTAGCATTCGTTTTACAATTTCAGTCAAAACAAACAAACCACTCACTGCTCTATTTGCCTCAACTGTAGTCCACCATGTTCAGCTCTGTAAATATTAAATGCATTCTGCAGGGAGAACACATTCAGGCACACAGGCTCCAATCCAGGATGGTCCACCATACAGTTAACAGAGTCTTCAAGTTCCTGCATCCGTCTTGACACCTAGTGTGATAAAGATATATTGAATGACATGTTAAAAATGTATTCTCTAAACAGACAACTTAGTGAAGCTATCACAAATGTTACCTGTGGTATCGCCATGCAGCACACATTCTCCGGTTCAGAAGGCATCGTGGCGCAATTTGCACATGTACACCTGTAGAAAGAAGTCAATAACTGAGCTTTTAAAAACACATGAAACTACACACATTGCTGACAACTGAGGTGTTGTTGGAGTTATACTTTTTATCACCCTAAGTTATTGAACTTTCCAACGGTTGTTGCACGATGTTGGAAGAAAAGGGCTGTAAACTATTAATAAACGCAATGAGGCCATTGTATATATGCTGAAAATATGAATGTCTCCCTTTATAAATTTCTTATTGCTGTTTTTGCGTTACAAACTATAAGTTACAAACTGTACACATTGCATTCTTGCTAATTAGCCAAAATATGAACGGAATAAGTAGCAAGCATCGTAACAGAGTAAAATAAATAGGAACAACAGCTTGTCAACTAACCATTCAGAAACGTCCTGCTGCAACCGAGATGTTTCCACATCCACCAAAACCTCCGCTGCTTCAGGGTCAGTCTCTGGATCAAATTCATAATATGCTTGAACACATGCATTGCTCTCAGATGACATGTTTATTCCACACGTAATCACAGCAAGCATGGTAACATGACTCTCACCGGCGCATGCCCCGCTCTTCTGCAGGGGGGCGTGGTCAGCTGCTGCTCAGAATTTTCAAAGACAGGCTTGGAATAGAGCGAAAATGAGCGAAACGAGGCATGGCTAAAAAATGATCCGTTTGGTATTTTGAAAAATAAAATGTATAAATATACCTTATATAGGTATGGTCATACACTATATCATTTAAATATAGCATGATAGGTCTCCTTTAAGGTTAAGTTAACGTAACGTTGTAAGAAAGCAAAACGAACCTTCGAGAATGCTTTTACTCTCTCTCCTTAGCGGGCATTGTTGATTGTTCGAAACACGATCTCTCGATGTGCTGCCCACACATCGTCGGTTTCATCGACCCCGGGTTATCTGGTCCAGTAAAAGTCCGCCTCGTACGACGCACTTGTTTTGTCCATATACGCAACATTTGATAATTTTTTGGCCACAAAAACATCCCATAACCAGATGTTGAGACGGCCCCACATCCCAATACAACATATCGCTTGCCAATTATTCTTGGCGTCTTATTGCTGTGCATCCTTTGTCATAATATTTGGCCCTTCAATGCATTCAAACGGGACTGAGCTCAGCTGTGTTATACTCATGACGTCACCGCCGGAAATGGCCGAAGTTTATGTTTCCGGCGCAACGAACGATTGTTACTAATTGACAACTTTTGTATGCTGTTATAATCGTGATTTATAAAAAATAGATCAATAATAAAAAAAATCATATGGCACATTTCACAATACAAATGCAACCTCTATCATATAATAAGCCCACTAACAGGTGCTAATAGCATTTCGTAAGCTCTTTAAGGTAGCATTAGTGTACAGTATTTAATGGGTGGGGGGGGGGGCTTTCTCTCTGAAGTCTGGAGTTTGTTCACATGCATTTAGATTTAGATGTGTCCTTTTTTTAAATGCATTAGTCTTATTTTATCATATGTAGTGATTGCATGCAATTGTATGGTTGTATTCTCTATTTTAAAATGCTTTTATGGTGATATATTTTCAGGCGCCTGTGACAAGAGACTCCAACCCTGATGGTCCCATTGAAAGCGAGAACGTGTACACGAGGAATGCTGGGCCATCAAACAAACCCAACATCAACAGAAAGGTACAACCATGTTTACGACTTAGCTTTATACTTTGCATCTTTCTGAATCACTAGCTGTTGCTTCTGTTTTTCTTCAAGCTGATAAATGGATGATGAACACATATATGTTGAATTTATTAGGAATAAAACAAGAAATGCTGTGCCAAATTGAGAAGAAACAGTTATTTCTTACTGGTGTTTTGGTGATTATGTTAAAGTTTCATTTTAAGAGGTTTTAGAGTTCCATCGCAAATAATATAAAGCATTTCCAACCTCACACAATAATTTCACAACAGCCTTATTCTGAGTGTAAAATTCAGTTTCGTACTCTTAAAAAAAAGTGTTTTAACTATAAACTGTTAATTGCAAACAGTATAATGCCTTAAAATATGTTTTCATTATCTACATATTGGAACAGTTTTTCAGAAGCACAATTTGAATACTGTAATCTCTCCTCGATTGAGACGAACTAAAAGCCTGATAGTAAGTTTTCATTTAAGCTGCTTAATTTACTGTATAGGATCTCTCAATATCAGATAGTATTGTCATAATGTTGTGCTCTTATTTGGATTGTGTTTGGTTTAACCTGTTAAGCCCTGAGCCTGTTTTTCAGGTCTCAGGCTCGAAAATGACATTCCCAGAACAAATGACCATATCTTCACTTCTAAAAGGGTTAAATTAATAATCTTTTTTCTGAAAGCAAGGTTACATCTGTGAGTTGGAGTGTCAGAATCTGTGAGTTGGAGTGTCAGAATCAATATGGATGTTTTTATTTTAAAGTAAATTAAGATTGAACATAAAACAATTTAAATGATAGTGTCCATCCAAAATGTAAAGTGGAAAACCACCCTTGAATGATGGGATAGTAGACTAAAAGCTTTAGGAATCCAAACTATAACATATAATAAGTACCCTGTATCAAGACTGATGCAAAACAAGTGAAATTTGACCTTTTTAGAGAGATTTAGAAAAAAAAACACTTTTTGACCGTTAGAGCCAATAGAATCGAGGGGAAGTTCCTAAAATACATCTAAACATTACCCATTGGTGAATGAGTGCTGCACAGCCAGAATGCCAAGGAACCGGAAGCTGCGATACACTCTGGTGGCTACCATTAGCAGCTAATTTAAAATCTCTGATATTTACATAAAAATGGAATTATGGACTATCAATAATTTTTTCAAAGTGACAGACACATTGGATTAACCTATGGATTAACCCTCAGCAGCGTTTTTTCTCGTTTTAATGCCATTGAACACGAATTTTGATCAGAATAACAGCTAAGGTGAGACGATCTCCCGTGTTTGCTCCGTAATGCTACGTGCTGTGTTTTCTTCCCCAGTAGCAAGTTCTGATCGCTCAGTGATGATACTAATACCTATATAATCTGTGGAATCTCAGCCTTAATCTGATATCTTGTATGTGCAGTTACGATAAGTAATAAGGGTATTTTTACCTTGAGTTCTGTGCCAAGTGCGTTAGCATTTTTTCGCTCAGGGGTCATTTAGATGCTTCTTATGAGACTTGTGTTTTGTTTTGGTAAAAATGGTTCGTACTGTCAGTTAGCTGAGTTTCTTCCCGTTAATCTGGTATGACACATTAATAGGTTTTTAAATATTAAGAAGCCCTGAGACACAGTTTCGTGAAAAAAAAACCTGCAGCCCCCTCTACCGGGGGCTCTCGGGCTAAACAGGCCTTGTTTTCTGTGTTCATTTTTAGATAAAGGACACAAATCTAGAGGAACCCTATGAACTGTACGATTCCAGCAGTGATATCTCTGGGAGTGGGGATGAGTTTGTCCCGGATTCTACATCAGAAAGTGAAGACAGTGATTCCACCCTCACAATAACAAAGAAAAGGCCATCTCTGATGGATTTATTTGATGACTCTAGCTCAACTAGTCTTTGTGATACTACACTACCAGACTCGGGACCACCAGGAGCAGAAGAACCCTGCACAGATGCCATGATAGAAAGTGATGGTGATACACATTATCAAACAG